GATGTTCAAATCGCTGATGGTCGCTGATGGAAGCTCGCTTACGCTGCTGCAAAGCATAACGCAGCCTTAAGATCCTAAGCTCAGAGGAAGAAAGTAGTTACGGAAAAAAATTCTACCTGCAACTGATTTAGGAACGTACCAGGTCCTTTGTTCATTTCTTGAACATGATAGTATGACTTGGGGAATTTCTTCAGTCTCTCCTTGCTGATGGCACCCTCATAGGTCATACTGTTGATTTGGTCCGCTGTGAGCATTGGGCTTGCTGAGTCATGTGTTGGAGGGGTTTCGACGACTGGGCTCGTACCTATGACATCCCTATAGAGCTACAGGTTGTCATGAATTGAGGTCAACGCTTTTGATTCACCCCACAGTCAACGTTGGGCCGAGTCGAGCAGTTTAGTAGCTAACTCAACCAGTGATGCTGCGCCAATGGTGATTTGTGGCTGTTCACGCCTCTTAGGACGGAAACCACCTACTGCAAGTGCCGCATGGTGAGTGACAGTTTCGCTTATCTGTGTACTCTCTCATCGCTAAAATCTACCCTGTCGCCTGCGTCACTATTTCCTCGCCATGAGCGTTGGACATCCACAATTACGCTTAGAATAACATGGAGCATACAGTATCTTAAAATTGCGCGTAAAACTAAATGCAGCGGTATCGCGAGCACGAACAACCAAGTATATCTTAACCCCGCTCGGTTCAATTATCCAAGTTTGAAGGCGAGCCTATCAGTTCGGCCGAGGGGGGGGGGGGAATTTAGCACTTTCACTGCTTCACTACTTCTTTACAAGTCTCACTCTGGTGAAACCTGTGAACTCTTGTGAAGCTGAAGCAAGCTCGTCTAGCCACCATGGTAAAACGTGTCAACTCAAGAAAAGGCTATTCAGTTGGGTCGACACATCACTGGGGAGCAAAATGCTCCCCCCCCCCTGTCCGTTGGGCCCCACCCCCCCCCCCCACGAACTGCGCCTGGCCACCACCTTATTGCTGTACTGCTACAGGTAGGACTGTGAAGCGCAGGACGACGCTTCACAGTCCTACCCAATAGTAGCAGTTACAGCGAATTTCGCCTCTCCACCACAACCAGGCCGTAGTGACAGTGCTGTGTGGACATGTGTGCTTCAGCGCGAACCAAGTTCCTTTTCTACGCCCATTTAGGCGAGTTCCGTTATCTACGCGCAATTTACGGCACTGCGATACCTGCTGTCGTGAATTCATAATTCACTCTCTCGTTCCTCAGTAAGAAGAAGATGCCTGGGCGCTGCCGCATGTGGAAATTAAAGGGGGTCTCGGGTGCTACGAAGACCACATCTTATCCATTCCCACTTGCGTCTTCCTCCAATCCTGAATCGGCTCCACCCTAGGCCAATGTATAACACTTCTACCACGGGCAACGGTAAACTGGATACCAGATTTATCTGGGAGGATAAGAAGACTGACTTATGTACATCGGCTGTCCCAAGATTCATTGTATAGGCCACATCGCTGGTTTCACCCACTGTCTGCTCTCTTCCTTTTTCTCAGTGAACGCAACCTTAGGCGTTCTACTCCTTTACCTATTTTTGATAGAACTTTATGAATAAACAATGAGCACACCATTTTCAGGTTCTACAGGGACGTCTCGCTGTAGAGGTATTTTGAAAAGGTGAAAAAAGGCCAAAGCTGCGGCACGTCTCCTGAAATAAGTCACGTTGAAACTGTTCCTATGTATCAAGTATAGGAGCTTTCACCTCAATAGCGTTATCGAAGGTCTCCTGTAATAACTGAGCGTCAAAGGACGAAGCTGTTGATACTGGCGATGAGCACATTACGAATATAATTCTGTAATGAACTGATTCTAATAACGGGCTGAGGTTTGGGGTATGTGGCAAGAGAATCGTGGTTCGCCGCGCTGGTGGGCGTCGCGTGCGACGTCGCGCCCGCAAATGACGATGGTTCCAGGTAGTAGATGGCGACAACAGGCAATTCAGAACCGAAAATAGTCATGAATGTCTACGATGACGGGGTCTACATGAAGTCCGGTGCTCCAATCGACAGGTTAACACGAGTTAAGAAAACGCCGCGCCCATCGCCGCGCGCGGAGCGGCCTTTTACGATTCTCTTGTCCTTATTCCTGACTTTGCCTCTGATCAACCACCAGCCTATCTAACCTTCAAACTTTTAACGGCCGCATCAGAGCACGACTGAGGGAAAATGAACCCTGATAAGAACACGCAAAATCGATGTTCATTCTGAAGACGAAGTGAGGATGAGGTGGCTGGAGCACAAGAATATTCCTTAGGTTAGGTCCAAGTATCCCAAGACACTGAAAGGCAGGGTCTGCCTAGTGGGCTTGTTGTGGTTGGCACTCCCACTTCCTTCCTTCTGGTTCAGGACAGAGGTTTGCTCGCTTGGCCTGTAAACTCGAAAACCCTGAGGTCGGGTAGGCGTGGCTGCGTACTTGAGTTTAGAGTGACGGCGGCCCAGGTTTCGTGCGATATTTTCGTTTTGGAACAGTTGTAATCATGTCTCTATTTAGAGTAGCTCATCCTATACCATGCTCAAAAGCCACGCCTACTCTGTCTCAGGGATAAGGAGTGACACAATCGCGACCTTCTATCGAAACGAAGTCCGCATCACACGGCCAGACAGTACCCGAAATGGTTTTCAGCTGGTTCCCGGCACGTTCCTTGCAGGGAAATGATTGTCAACAGGGAAGTAGGAAACAGCCAGACCCACTCAAAGCTTTGAAAAGCCCTGGTAAGGCAATGACATGCCAAAACATGGCGTGACATATTCGCTCCGCCAGAACGCTTTCCCTCTCGGTCACATTTGTCGCCTCTTCAGGCTCATCCTCGCCAGACATCTATTCAGCAAAGTTTTCAAGAACTCACCTTCTGAAGACGAGGCACACTATAAGTACAACACTAGGCGACCTCTTACAACCGAGGATGATGAACAATGAACCAATCTCGAAGCTACTGTTTTTGAGTGATAATAGAGAAGTGTAATGTGGTAGGCCATCCTTATCATATCAGCCAGGGTAGACTCGGGGGAAGAGAATCGTAATTTGCCGCTCCGCCGCGCGCGCTGCGATGGGCGCAGCGTTTTTTTAGTTTGAGTTGAACTTGTGGGATGTGACAAGAGAATCGTAATTCTCCACGCGGGTGAGCTTCACGTGCGAGTCGCGCCCGCAAATGACGATGGTTCCAGGTAGTAGATGGCGACAGCAGGCAACTCAAAGCCGTAAATAGTCACGAATGTCTACGATGACGGGGTCTACATGATCATGCGTGTTGCCGGAGACGCCAGAAATGTTGTAAAGGCGACAAATCTTAGTAAATTGATTGCTTGACACGTGATTACTGTTGTTGTTAATGTTACTATTCCTTCGCCGATAACAAATTTATGCCACTTTTTTCAAAAAGAATTCCCTCGCTTTTGAAAGATGACTGAGTCAGTCTTATTCACCGTGGATGTTGGGGCGTGATAGGAGCAGGTGCTGGATCGGTGCAGTTGCACCCCATTTCCGACCTGCGCTGCCTGCGGGAACCATTGGTGGAAAGCGGGTTGGCCCCGGGCCGAAAGGCATCTACCCTGACACGCCCCTGCATCCCGCATCCAAACAACACTTACTCCTGCTTTGCTTTGAGGCCAAAATTTACTAGCTAGTTGGATTGAATACGGCATAGGACGCTCAATAGACCCCTATCCCACTCAGGACACGTCCTGCTGCTGGGACTCCGGAATACGACCGCTCACCCCCCTACTCAGCAAACCGACTACCTTGCTAGCTTTTTCCAGCCTCAGCTTTTAACACATTTTCTAGATCTCCAGAAACTTTCCTTTTTTACCAAAATTTTGCCGTCCAGCGTGGGGCGAAGGTCGTCACCAACCAATACTAATAATTTGAACTATCGAAAATGATAGATGTATGGCAGTTTGGAACGCTGCCAGCTAGAAAGAGTGGACGACAAATACGACCTCCCCCATTGTTGGGATTATCTGTGAAATAGAATAACCAACTGTCGAAAAAATTCTCATACCAAATGGGATCTCCCCCCCATTCCTCCAGCAACCAAGTACGACCCCTTTGCTGGGAGTCCCCATCGTACGACGTGCCCTGATCATACTTCTGTTGGTCTCTCACAAAATCTTGGGGTGCCCCGAAAGTTCGTAAGTTTTTCGAACTTTTTTGTGTCAAAATTATTTTGATAAGAAGCAATGTATGTACCATCTCCATCTGCAACTTGTTGTCAGCAACCATTCAAAAAGTGATTACCTCACTGCCTTAAGCTTTTTGGTTCCCTGCCAATAAAGGCCATTGGGTCATTTTCGTTGCTTTTAAGAGCGAGCTTTGAAAAGGGCTAAGTCAGAAATAGGAGTCGGGCGATGCTATCGCGAGCAAATTAGGTGAACCGCTCACGTCGCGCGCGGCAAATTGTGCGGCAGTGTCAGAGTTGCGCTACCGCTTCTACATCTACTCGAGTTGTCGTCAGAGTAGGGTTTGTTTACGGAGTTTTCTTCAGAGTAACAGTTATGGGTTCCTTCCATAATTGTCATGGAGCCTACGAACTCGTAGCGCAAGTATGACGATCGCAGGCCACGCTACAGCTCAGCGGACGACGGTTAGAATGCGTCACAGCTGAATGACGATGATGGCGATTTCCTAAGCCAAGTCGCAAGCATCTCTAACACACACAATGCCATTTTTGGAAAACGTGAAATAACCTTTACCCGGACCATTGCTCATCCAAATGCAACGCTGTAGGTGGAAAAACTCAGCAATTTACGAGCGTCTACTGATTCCTTTGCACTCATCTGAATTTGTTACGCTTGTAGAAAAAATACAAGAGCTGTTTTAGTATGGTGGTCGAGTGGGAGAGTTGTCAACGAAAGTAGGAGTGTTGTCTCGGAGGCGATCTTGGGACCACAATCTGATAAACTGCCGTCATAAGACTCAATCCGGCCTGCTCATCACTTGACATATCCGTCGTTCGCTCATCTGGCGATGGTCGCTGCAAATAAGAAGGTGAGTCGCCTCTTTTCCTTCGTTCCTTGCTCATTACGCTGGTCGAAATTACTCACTTTGTTCAGCGTTACTTGTAAAGCATTCTTTCTCTCTAAACGCGTTGCAAAAGACGCCGCAGAGATGATAAGCTCTTAGCTTGCACTATCGAACTTGAATGGGGCTCAAACCGACTTCTATTATCACTTTTAGTTGGCTCGGAACTAGACGTCTGTATTCAAACAGTTGAGGTTTCGAGGTGCGTTATATCCCAACAACACCCTCCCCCCCCCCCAGTAGCAGTCGATGCTGCAGAGTTAGATGAGAGCTTAAATTTGATGGTTGATCAGCTGTCATTCTCTCCCTTTCACTCCTCTCCCATCAAATTGGGGAGAACGCGCATATTGGGATCGAATCGCCCACCTCCTCCTCTACTGGGGATTACGTGCC